CCTATTCAAGTGGCTAATGGCCTGCCTCAAGAACCACATACTCGCCAGCCATCTTATCCATCTCAGCATTCTACTGGTACGCCTTTGTCTCAGATTCCTGAGAGAGCCATTCATGCTGCTCCTTTTCAGCCAAACACTTATGGCCAGCAACCATACTACAACCAGCAGCCATATCAAGCACAGCCTCAGCAGGGATATTATTATCCACCCAACTACAACACTCCCAATATGGGACCGTCCAGTGCTGCACCTGCATTTGTGCCCAGCCAGTCAGGTCCTCCTGGAAGCTTCACGCCTCAAAACCAGCCTGAGCAGCCTGTGATGTCTAACAACGGCCCACCCCCTGCTCCCGGGTCCAGTCTGGTGGTTCAAGAAGCGAACGGGATGGTTTACTACTTTGACGCGTCACAGCTGCCCCCGGTTACCAATTATTCTGGCTATCCTGCGCCTCAGGGCTACCAACCCAGTGTCATGGGTATGGGTGGCATGGTGACACCCAGCCCTGACGGCTTCTATTATCCCCAACAGACATCCGGCATGGTCTACTATCCGCAGTAGAACTGGGGCATACCCGGATACCCTTTCTTCACTTGTCCAAACGCTTTCTACTCGTATCCGATTTAATAGCTACAATTACGACTTTATACCTATTAAAACTCAAAAGCATCTGCTATTCTACAACAAAAGCCTTACAGGGGCAAACACAAGAACCAGGAGCATGGTCGGAGGATGGATGGGGAGGAAAAGGAATTACAACTTTGATGTAAAGTCATTCATTGGGGGTCAAGGCTTTATTTTGTTCGAATGGTTCCGGTTGAGGGGACAAGATGGGTGCATTACTATATATCTTAACTCTACGACCTCGACATCATTACCTGGAATGGATTAACAGATGGGAGTTGAATGGGCAAGAGTATCCTGATTAGTGTTTTTTTTCTATCGTTGGGAGATGAGGAGTTTGTCTTGGCCAAGGATATTGGAAGGAGGAGGATGAGCAAGAGTTGGGCGGGAGGTTTTTTTGGGGGGGGGGGGGGGGGGCTGAATTGCTACTGGTTATCCTTTCTGCCTAGCAATCCATTTATTCTCCCCATACACAGTTATACGTTTTGCGCTTGGCGGTTACCGATGGTTTTGTGTTTTCATGGCAATGGTGTTTGGTGTCCATGGCATATTATATACCTGATTCCGTCTGCTGTTGGCCTTGATGACATTGTTGGTTGGCAGTAGAAAACAATGGTGATATCGAAGATGTATCGAATCAACTCACGAGAAGTGCCCCTCGTAATCTACTTATGGTGAAGTGTAGTTCAAGGAAGTCAACCATATCAACGTCTTGGTCAGATAGATCGAGGCAACACAGCAAGAACAACACAGCAGCCTGTTTCTCTCTAGGCAGTACAGACTCTGTTTTCTCCTTGTAGCCAATACATACTCTCAAGAATTACACCGTTAGTTATATGGTCTATCCACGGGGGCAACTATAGATATAACAGGTAGTGGTGAAATAGAGTCCTCTGCTCCTACATCCAGTTGAATGAATCTGCTACTATATTCGGACCAGATGCCGATCTGCTCATTGCATAGTTACCCCAGCCAAACAGACAAAATCCTGATGCAACAGGGCTCGCTTGGTTGTCACGGAGGGGAACGGGGAATTAGGTGCTTCTCCACCTCACTAAGCGGAGAGCGGTACGATCATGTCAGTTGTAAAGACTCGAAGCATGCATTGGCCAACCAGCCGGGCTTATCCACGTTCATCTTACGGGCACATGTGAAGCCAAGAAGACCAAGACCACCCGAATTGTGATCCAGATAACTGCCAAGGCTTCAATGACCTCTTGATATTTCCAGTTGTGGCATAAGCGAATGGCTTGGACAGAAGATGTCATGCTTTTACGAACATCACTGAGGGTGGTTCGAAGACGAAAGCGAGTTACAATTATGCCACGGTAGAGTATTAAAGAGTTGATGTGGAAATAAGAAGTAAACAAGAATGCGGGGATGTGATGATGGGGTAATGAAGTCACGAGCTGCCAATACGTGCATAATATTATTATCTAGTCTTTTCTAGTGTAGCTTCTCTTGTCGATTTTGATACCTACCTTAGGTTAGTAGGTACTAAGCTTGACAGGTGGATGCCATTGTCTTATGCAGTACCTCGGAGCCATACTCAAGTCGGCCTTCAAACGACTCATGCAATTAGGACTGACCGCGTAGCCGGGTAAGCTGCATGGAGCTCTTCCTTTAGCTCAGATTTCCGAGGTCTGCGTAAGACGATTTTGGCTTGGAGAGGCGGGGGAGGGAAGAGAAACGTTTGTTGTGAGTCTCCGAGCCGTAAGTAATTGGTGAGTTGGTTGTACTGATCAATTGGAGAGCTACACGGTCCAGGGGCTGGAGGTGAGTTTGATTGTGATAAGCCGTAACTCGGATACTGAGATACAAGATGATGTTTGATCATAAAAGGGACACAAAGTACCGTCCGTATGAGTCGGGAATGTCATTAGCCCCGGCCTGGGACGAGAGCTTGTGATGCGTAGAGTCCTAGGCAAGGTACAAGCTCACTCTATGAGTGGATCAAGTACAAGTGTATCTGGCCCGGATGATCTCTCCCTCGTGTTTATTTCTTCACCTTGAATCGAAGGGTACACTTTTTTCGATCAACCGTATCAGACAGCAAGATTGAGTTCAGTTAACCCGCCGAGGTTGAAGGTTTTGGAGGAGGCGACAACCTCTAGGCGACAATGAGCACGCGTAGCCCTGAGACCTGATAGAGACAGATAAACACCCTCTCTGCCTAGACGGCGAATGAGGTGCTGTATTTTTGGTCGAACAGGCTCGATCCCGAGATTGACAAACGAGCCAAGCTGACCAACAAGCTTGTTTGGCCACCTCATGGAGTTCTAGTGTGTTCCAGTCTCTCAACCGATCCAGGTCCGCGGTTCCAGTATGTCCTTTTCATCTTGATATCCCAAAAATAAAAAAAGAGGAGTCCGAAACCAGCCATTGTAAGCCGAGAGAATTCCGACTTCTGCCCGCCGAGTAACAAACAGTAAGCATCACTTCAGCTACATGTGCCCTGTTGACTTAGCCTGGAAGTGGGGAGCTTGCTTGCTCTCTTCAAGACCCAGAGACCATCGTGACCTTTGACCCTGAGTCCGTGACCTACGAGCGTCCAATAGAGTCTGTTGACGGCGGCGTCGGTGAGGTGAAAGCGGCGTTGCGTATGCGTCGAGGTGTTTGCTGTCATGTGGTACCTGACCACAGATATCGCCTAGGGTTGGAGCGCAGGGCGTCAACGAGGCTCTTTAGGCTTTTGTCCTATCAGGAGTCAAGTATCGGACTTCGGCCCCTCTTTCAGAGTGCAGACAGGTACAGAGGGCCCCGCTCTCCACTCTTTTCAATCCGGGGGAGTTTTAGAGAGCCAAGGGGACGGGATTGCTGTGTCTTAGTACCTTAGTCCTAGAGTACCAAGGTGAGGGAGGACTTCTAGGTAAGTAAGGTAGCTGATGAAAAGAAAAGATGCTGGATTGTTTGCAGCGTTCAGTGCCAAATAAATCCCCAGAGGCTGTCGAATTGGATTAACCGAGCAGCCATTGTTGCTGTAAGATAAACAAACTTCTGCTTGAAATGTTTATCATGATAGAGTTTATCATGAAAAGTCCCCATACTACACTCACCATGTACATTAGTCGTGTATCACCAACCACCCCTTGTCAACCGATCACAGGACACATAAAAAACAAAAAAGGGTTGACGGATAGCTGCCTTATTCGAATGGAATTCCTCTCAATGGACCTCAGTGACAATATTTGACAGGGCTTATGGCTGTGGTTACACAGCAAAAGACGAAACAGTGCCCCCAGTGAACTTATGAATCACTCTCCTCAAGTTTTGGTAATCTGGATATCCATGCATGACTGGAACAAGATAGACTCGCCCAGAAACTGTGTGTGTGTATACTGGCCCTACCTACCTCAGTACATTTTGAATCCTCACGACTCACGGTACTACCCATCTCTTCAGTATCGTATCTGGTCCGGCTGAGACCTCGTCATCATCAGTATTGCCTGCATTGGATCTTTGCCTTTTGCCCCAAGGGTTGCGTCTATCGCCATCCGTCCACTGACGGCCTCACACCATCCTTCTAGTCATGCACTAACGCCGAAAAAGTACCCCGATCGACCGACCCCTCAGTACCAAAGCCAGCCCAGCCCAGCCCGGATCATCCCCCGTCAGCTGGTGCAGGGAGTTTTCCAGTTTCCAATCGCTACGAGTTGCGGTGCTACTCTCCTGGCGCTACAGCCACGCTACTTGAGGCTTACCAAAAGCCATCGCGGCTTGCCGTGGCACGACAGTGTAGCCTCAAGGTATCTTTCTTTGATACCTAATGTGTCACCGAGTCTGCGGCGGCCACCTCAGAGTTACCTTAGTTACAGTACCAAGGTAACAGTATCCTCCCGCCGTCAGTGTCTACCTGAAATCCCGGGCATCATTAATTCGCAGCACGCCCCCTGCAGGCATCCTAGGCACCGCACCTCACCTCACCTCACCTACCTACAGGCAGCTCAGGACCCGCGTACAAGTGGTACAGTGGAAGCTTCTCTTCTTACTTCTTCCTTATCCTCTCCTCTCCTCTTCTTTTCTTCCATCAATCTCACCCTCCTCTCCTCCTTCTAAAACTCCTGCGCCTATCTATCATCAGGCGACCCTTTCTCTGTTATCACCCAACATCGTTTATTTTCAGAGCGTCTGTTGCCGATTTTCACGACGGGTGACGACCATCTTGTCACCGCCGATTGCTAGGTTATCTCGACCACCGATAACAGCATTAACATCCTCGTCACCGCCCCAGGCTACCATAGGTAAGGCTCCACCATCCGCAGTCGTCATTCTTCCCTTCTCTTCATCATCCTCGTCCTTCGCGGATCGAGTACAACGAGAATAAACAGAGATTCTAACATCATTCCCCCCCCAGCAGCCTTCCTGGGAACATCGCCAAAATGGCTTCCACCACGCATAACGCTGGCTTGGACCATGCCATCACCGTCAAGGTGATGTTCGAGGGCATCACTCGTCGCACCAAGATGCCTCTTCGGGATATGGTCCCAAGAACTCTTGAATCTAATGTATGTTGATAAGTACTGCTCTCGCGTTGAGCAGCTCCAGAATTTTCGCCATCCTACGTCGCCATCTTGCAATGGTGATCAAAGTTGGCGTTTTAGTAATTAATTAAGCAACAACTAACACGCTATCAGATCCGTACATTCTTGCACATTCCTGGAGATGCTCAGGTTGCATTTGAGCGATACTCCGATTCTGCTGCGTCTTATGTCCTTCTTGAGGCCGAAAACATCCCCATCTATAAACAACTCTACCGCGCCGCCAAGGCAAAGTCTAAGCTCAAGATTCGTGTTACCGTCAAAGAACAGCCCAAGGTTACAGTACCTAAGCCTGTCACCGTCGAAGATGAGCTTGAAACCGCGGCATTCGGTTCTTCTCCTATGGGCATGGACGAGGCTCCCAAGGAAGCTCACGAGACCTCCGAAGAGCCAAGCCCTGCGCCCACTCCCGCAGCCGAGGCTCCTGCACCAACCCCAGCATCAATCTTTACATCTCCCGAAACGACTCTTCCGGTCCGTATTAGCCCTCTATCGCGAACTTACAACTCTGCTCTCCTCAGTGATGCTGCGAGACTCATTGGAGAACGTCGGGATGCTCGTTTGGATTTTGAGAGCCGCCTTGCTAATCTTATGGAACGACAGTCGGTGCCAAAACAGACCCCCCAATCTCTCCCTGTAACCAAGCATCAACTAGCCCCATTCTCTCTGCCCAAGACTCAAGATCCATCACTGAACAAATGCCCTGCCATGTTCACTCACGCTGGTCCTGGCTTCGCTGTCTGTTGCAATAGCTGCGAAAACAATATTCCTGATGTTCACTACCACTGTTCTACCTGTGACGACGGAGACTTTGACCTTTGCCAGTCATGTGTCGATCAAGGCATCACCTGCCATGGTCGAGATCACTGGTTGATTAAGCGCTCAACTGTTGATGGACAACTAGTCCAGAGCACCACCGAGACTATCGCCCCTAAGCCCAAGCCCAAGGCGGAGGTCAAAGTTGAGACTATCATTGAGACCAAGGTCGAGTCTAAGATTCCACCTCCCGCTCAGACATTTCAATTGTCCAAGCCAATTTTCGAGCCCCTCGCTGCTCCTTGGGCCTCTCTTGGCATCATGCGGACCTGCAACTGCTGTGTGCAAGAACACCCCGAGGCCGAGTTTCTTCATTGCACCGTCTGTGAAGACTTCGATCTTTGCCAACCATGCTTCGCTAAGGACAAGCACGGCCATCACCCCAAGCACGGATTTGCCCCCGCTGTCAAGGGAACCAAGATGCCCCATCATGTTACAGCCAAAATGAGCCCAGGCCGAAACCATATGCACCACGCCATCTGCGATGGTTGCGACAAGTATATCACAGGTATCCGTCACAAGTGCCTCGACTGTCCTGACTGGGATTACTGTTCTACTTGCATCAAGTCTGTCAAGATCATCCACCCTGGCCATCGATTTGCGCCTATCTATGAGCCACTCACTGATGTCCGGGCTCGTGCACCATCAGCCGTCCATGTGGGCATTTGCTGCGACGGACCTCTCTGCTCTGGAAGCCAGGCGTACCCAAATTACATCCGTGGTACCCGATACAAATGTGCTATTTGCAATGATTTGGACTTTTGTGCCAACTGCGAGGCCAGCCCTATTAACGCTCACAATAAGACCCATCCCTTGATTCAGTTCAAGACTCCTGTCCGCCATATCAGTGTTACAACAATTGGCGAGAACCAGGATGGCCAGGATATGCCTGAAATGGGTGACCACCAGAGCTCGTCCAAGTCTACTGAGACTGAACCAACGGTTCCCAGCAACTCCATCAACCCTGTCCGCACCATCGTTGATGTTAAGCCAACTGAACCTGTTCCAGCCAAGATTTCCGTTAAGGCTCCAGAGCCTGAGGTAAAGGAAATCAAGAAGGAATCTACTCCCGAGCCTATCCCTATCCCCAAGGCGGAATTGAAGGGTGTATTCGTTCGCGAGACCATCCCCGATGGTACTATCCTCCCTCCCAACCATGTTTTTGAACAAACATGGACTCTCCGCAACGATGGCAAGGAGAACTGGCCCGCTGGTTGCTCCATCAGATTTGTGAGCGGCGATTACATGGGTCATGTTGACTCCAATCACCCGGCCGGTATCTCCGAGCTTGTGTCTGCCTCAGAGTCTACCGTGTGCTATGCTCCTCTTGGTCCTGGTCAGGAATTCACCTTTACCGTCCTCCTCCGAACACCCGCTCGGCCTGGCAAGGTCATCTCTTACTGGCGTCTTACAACTCCAGACGGAGAGAAATTTGGTCACAGACTGTGGTGTGATGTCAATGTCCGAATTATGAAGGAGGAGCCCAAGCCTGAGCCCGTGCCCGTGCCCGTGCAGGAGGCGAAGCAGGAGCCCGCAGCTGTTGAGGAGCCCAAGCAGGAGAATGATAGCCAAGCCTCGAGCCAGATGATTTTCCCCAAGCTTGAGAAGGAGTCACCTGTGGCTAGCATCCACGAGGCAGTTGAGCCTGTCTCTGTCGTTGAGGAGCCCAAAGAGTCAGAAACCATTGATGACGAATGGGACTATTCCGAAGATGGATTCATGACAGATGAGGAATACGACATCCTGGATGCTTCCGACGAGGAGTATCTGGAGGAGCAAAAGAAGAAACTTGTCACCAAGTAAGCGTAAATTTGATTTCTCAGGTTGGGATTGGGGTTTTATGGATCTAATTCTTTATTCGTCTTTGTTTCGGCCAATGTTGCTTCCTCTCCTTTCAATTCTGTATTATTCCTTCTGTTTTCATACCTCTGTCGTTTATTGACAGCGACGATATCAAATCGGGTAGCTATGGACAAGGCCATAACCAGGTATCTACGTAACCTTCTCGTAACATGTTCAGTGAGAGAAGAACACGCTCTTTTGGTAGTTTGGACTAGGTAGCTCAGGATGCAACAATGGGATTCGCTGATTTGATAACTAAAGATTGACTTTTCCTCGCTCTCTAAGTGATAGCATTCTTGGATGGTGAAGATGAACCTGATATACGTGTGAGGATGTTTTCAGTCGGGCAAGTTATGAAATCAGCTCTGCCACGACCCTTCTTGATAGGGCGACAACGCCAAGTCTCACAGTTTGTCATCCAATGCCGTCCGTTGATTGGCTGATTAGCATCAGATATGGCGCGTCTTACCTAAATCTGAATTGGGCTGAACAGCCAGTGTCTTGAGAAAATCCATGATGTAGGCCGGTCACGGGACCTTCATGATAGAGGATGCCTTGGTTTCGTTCGAATGTAGTCGCAACCGGTTTTGGTGCCTAAGAAATTGTGATGGAAGCAGGTGGGTTGGAATATAATCCAAACATAAAGCCAGCTGACAAAAATATGATTGCCTCTTTTAGCTAGTTTCTCCACCACATATTTCTGTCAGCTTCGCAAGCTGTGTGGGTTATTTTCCTACCCACCTGGGAGGTACCTTATGGCCTGGCTTAGCCTGGGCGGGAGACCCACAACCAGGTACCTAGTACTTTTCTGAATGGAAGAGTGGAGCCCGTGAAAGAGGGTCATCAGCCGCCCGCTCATAGCACGAGTACCTAACCCCAGCCAAAAGACACTGAACTGCACCTGGCGCCCAGGCCAAAACATCCATCTCCCCCCGTCGTACAACTCTTTTCATATTTTCGTTACGGTTTCCCAGGGCGACCCTGGACTTGAATGCGACTGCGCTGCCATCCATCACGCCGCACCGCTTCTCGTCAAAGACGACTTCTTTAGCTATTCCTTGACTGTTTCTCATCAATTTCCGGCCGTTATCCTTTCTTTATTCTGATTCTGCTACCTGGTCAGGTCACGTAACCCACCTCGACGCACGCTCTCGGGTTCAAAAAAACGCGACCCTTCGGCCTTGGCCCTTCGATCGTGGTTCAATTATCATCACCCTTCATCATACAAAACTTCTTCCGACTTCAACCCTATTCGTCAACCATCGCGCAAGATGGTCACCTTTTCTATTCCCGGCGACAATGAACTCGCCGAGGCCGGCAAGAGCACACCTCGGCCGCGTCCTGCTCTCCCTTTTGCGAAACGCGCCTACGTCTCAACGCCGTTAAAGAGCAGCCGTCTCGGCGTTCCGCAGAGCGCGCCATCACGGAGGCTATTGTCAACTCGCGATGAGACGCCGTCCAGCAGCCTCAAAAGATCTACCATTTCTTCCTCCCGTAATATCTTCAGGGCTTCTACCACCTCCGATAGTCCCTCCATCACACCTTTCTCTCCGAGCATCCCTCAGAACACCCGGAAGAAGGTGTTTGCTCCCGGCGCTACACCCGAGCCGAGCCGTGTCTATCGAGAATCGACGGCACATGCTACGCCCCGTGGTATGGCTTCCAAGACCACATCCAAGGAGTTGTTCCACATGCGTATCGAGGACCCCGATCCCGAACTGTCTGGCGAGGTTCTTACGAAGAAGATCCCTCAAAGTTGGAACTCCAAGGGTTCTATTTACGCTGACCAATTCCTCTCGCATCTCTGTCCTCCCGAGTTCGATGAAGAGCAGCAACGACAGTTTTTCTGCATTCTCGATCTCCGGCGACTCAAATATGCGGCCAACGAAATTTTTTCTAAGAAGGATTGGAAACTTAATGTCATCAACTTTGCAAAGGAGTTCGAAAAGAGCAGGAGTATTATTCTGTTGCGCTACGGACTCTACGAATTCCAGAACGTTAAACCTTCCCAGGATGTTCTCAAGAGATGGCGTCGTGAGCATGGTCTCCCTGAGCCAGAGGAGGATAATGGCGAGCCAACGCCTACAAAGGCCACTGCTGCCAAGAAGCGTAAGGCGGATGATGATATCACTAAAGATGCTACTGTGAACGGCTCTTCCAGCAACAACAAGCGACGTGCTCCTGACCGTGAAGAAGATGACCAGGAGCAGGAAGCGCCAACTCCTGCACCCGTTCCTACTCCAGCTTCCACCTTGGGCAAGAACAAACGCAGGGCCTCTGTCAGCGATGAGGCTGATAGTCAACCCTCCAAGATGCAGAAGGGCACTGCTTCTGCCGCCAAATCTCTCTTCGAGAAGATTGCCAACAAGTCGACTGCCCCTGCCGCCTCCCCCTTCAAGTCCTCTACCAAGCCCGCTGACGATGGAGCTGCTGCTAAGCCAAATCCCTTTGCTTTCAATAAGCCCAACGGCAGCGGTAGTTCACTTGCTCGCAGCATCTTTCAGAACCCTAAACCCGGCAGCGCTGCTGGCACTTCTTCTGGTGGAAACATCTTTGGTTACCTTTCTGATGCAAGCTCGGCCAAGAATAGTGGTGTTGATGCCGATGCCGAGAGTGAGGCCGACTCAGATGTTGAGGGTGATAGCCAGGCAACCGGAAACAGCGACGAGCCAAGTGCGGCAGCTAGCGGCGCCGACACCGCTTCTCAGGCTGGCATCGGTCTGTTCGGACAGAAGCCTGCCCCTACCAGTGGTCTCGCTGCTGGGTCCAGTGCACCTGGTACTAGGGAGAGCACCCCTGGCCGAAGTCTGTTTGACCGAGTCACCAAGGATAATGATGGACAGCCGGTGCGGATTGGGGAGAAGGATGAGACAGCAGCCGAGAAGCCTGTCGACCAGACCTGGGACCCCAGCACCACCCCCATCAAATTTGCGCCATCCGGCTCTGCATCCACAAGCCAAGCTGCCTCTTTGTTTGGAAAGGCCACATCGGCGTCGACGAGTTCTTTGTTCGCCTCGAAGCCCCCCACTTCTAATCTATTTGGTGCCGCCAAGCAGGACAAGCCTACGGAAAAAGAAGCAACACCAGTCTCGGACCAGGCTGACAAGACGGGAGGTGAATCCGACAAAGAGAACGATGAGGCTCCCAAGAAGTCAGTGTTCGAGTCTAAGACTTCAGCCGCTCCGACAAACTTGGGGTCTTTCTTTGCCCCCAAACCGGCTACGGAAACATCTAAGGCTGGAGAGCCTACAAAGCCTGCTGCTACAAGCTTATTTGGAACCAAGTCCGACGACAAGTCCAACACCCCCCCGCCCACTACCAGCCTGTTTGGTACCGTAAGCAAGCCTGCTGAGTCAAGTGGTTCCTCGATGCAGTCGTCTACATTATTTGGTGCCAAATCCAGTACCAATGAATCTGCTAAGACTTCACTCTTTGGTGCTCCCACTGCAGAATCGACTACTGCTACGTCTTTATTTGGTGCAAAGCCTACAAGCACAGCCACCAACCTGTTTGGCAATGCCTCGGCGCCAACAGTCAAGCCTTTGTTTGGTGCCCCCAGCTCTGGCAACGCGACGGCACCCAAGACTGATGCTGCTCCTACGGCAGATAAGCCTGCTGCGGCCCCCATTTTCAGCTTCGGGGCGCCTTCCGCTGGTGCTGATAAGATCAACGGTGCAAACAAGCCCCTCTTTGGAGCACCTCAGTCGCCTACGTCGTCTGGTGCAGCTGCACTTGATGGTAGTCCCATGAAGCAGGATGGACCATCACCGGCCAAGAAGGCATTCGATGGTGGAAGCACTGGGGCTTCGGCCGCACCCATCTTCAGCTTTGGTGGCGCCTCTACAGCTCCTGCTGCTCCCCCATTTGGTGGTAGCTCAGGCACTTCTACACCTCTATTTGGCGGTGCTTCAACGACCCCTGCTGCTAACAATGCAGGCTCGTCTTTTGGTGCAAACTCGGCCAATTCAGGAGGATCGTTCGGTTTCCAGTTTGGAGGAAACTCTGCTTCTTCATCATTCAACAATCCGTTCTCCTCAGGCAACGATGGAGGTAATGCAGCTTCTGCCCCATCATCGGCTTCTGGAGGCATGTTCAGCTTTGGGGCCACCGCCGTACCTTCTGGAGGTTCCAATCCGTTTCAATTTGGAGGTGATGCAAGCAACGCCACATCGACCCCAGCCTTCGGAGCAGTCAGTAATAACAATGCTCCCGGTTTTGGAGGGGCATCTGGATCTACAGGAGCGCCGGGGTTCAGCTTCACAGGAGCCTCCCCAGCGCAAAACTCAGTACCAACATTTGGATCCAACCAGAACGGCAACCTTCAACCGCCTGCTGGTGGTTCTACCACCGGGACCAGTAAGTCTCCTCTTTTTCCACATCGGAAAATCGCCCCACTAAAGCGACGGGTGTAGACACACCGTTCAGTCTTGGGGGAGGCTCTAGCCTGGCCACAACACCAGCTGGCGGGACCCCGGAACCATCAAACCAAGCCGAAGGAGCCGCCGGAGGCGATGAAGAAGGCGAGAAGCACGAGCAGGTCAACTTGGCCGAGAACCTGGAGCAGGACGAGGATATCATGCATGATGTACGGGCAAAGGTGTTGAAGTTTGTGCCGGCCAGTGAGAAGTCGGATGACAAGAAGCCCAAGTCTCAGAGTCCGTGGTCGGTACAGGGTGTAGGAGCTCTTCGACTGCTAAAGCACAAGGAGACGAGTGTTGTTCGTCTTCTCCTGCGAGCAGAGCCCCGTGGACATATTGCCATGAACCGAGCAGTCCTCGCCGACATGTCTTACAAGGCTGACAAGAAGTACGTCAAGATGACCACGTCGAACGAGAAGGGTGACGGACTTGAGACTTGGATGATTCAGGTCAAGACGGCGGACATGGCTAAGGAGCTTGCGGAAGCATTGGAGAAGAACAAGGTCTATAACAAGAAGTAATGTGGAGGGAATTAGGGAATAG